GGAGGTAGCATCATATGTAATTGCAATTCTTTTTCTTTCTTGGGTATCTTCTTAGAGCTATTGTTAGAGACAGAATACTGTGCTCGGTAGAGCACTGGCCTGAACCAGTTTGCTTACTCATAATACTTAGAAGCCCCCAAATAAGAGTTAATGAATAAATTGCAGTAGACAATCTTTTTGTTGTCATACCTACTAGCTGTAAACCCTCAAATAAATTCTTGAGGCATGACAAAAGGATGGCAGCAGATCTCATTTTTGGGGTGCAACAGTAGGATAGATTATTTTTGTGGATTTATTCCTGCCTGCACTTTTGCAGAGTAGAACACTGGCTCTGCTGCGGGCAGTCCCAATATAACCGTTGCTAATTGATACCAGCTACATGATTTTACCACTTATACCTCTACTATTGCACTACGCATGTAGCTTGTTCAAGTGTTTACCATGCACCTGAGAAAAGGATTAATAAGGTAATGTTAGCATTTCTTCAGGTGATCTGAGAATAGAACCCTTTACAGATTTAAAGCAAAAACTGAAACACATAAGTAACGTATTTGAGACTTCTGAAGGCATAAAATAGACATGTGCTTTCCATAATTGTATTTTTCTGGAATTGCTGGGTTCAGTCAAATCATTTGAATGGAGTAAGAAATAAATTTAACAAGAGAAATATGTCTAAAAAAATCCAGATATGAAAGTTTTTAAGTATTAAAGCTTAAATATTAAAAGTGTAATTCTTTGTCTGAGATCATTAGTCAGCAATTCACTGTGGCTGGAGCAGCTGACACTGACCTTCTGTATCCTTGGCCCTTTCCCTCTTACTCTCTCTCTCTGTAAAGGGAAAACTACTTGTTTACACTTCTTTCTAGAGCTGTATTCTGTCTAGAATCATGCTGTTCTGAGAAGTCAGAAGAGTTTGATTGGTCTGCTATTGATTGTCCCATCAGCCAAATTACCTAAATCCCTTAAGGATAAAATTCTCATAACCTACAAGTCATGCAGGGTTTAAATTTACAGCAGCAAGTATGTATCATCTCCCTGAAGATGGAATAAGGGGAAGAGGACTACTGGTGCAGGACTGCCCCCCATTTACACCATCTCTGTGGTGCCTAGACTCAGGAGCCAAACAACAGAGCAGGACCTTCCCGTTTCCCCTCTCCCCTCTCCCCTCTTGCCATAACACATCTCTGCCTAGTCTGGGTACCATACGGCCTCATTAGGACCAAAACAGTTGGAACCAACTGCTTGATAGGATCAGGCCAGTCTCACTAGTGACACTTCTTCAACAAGCTTCCATATCTGTCACGTTAAAACCGAAGCTTCTTGCTTGGCTTAGACCTCCAGATCCTAAATGAATTACAGTGTCTGGATATTCTACTGAGGTATATGATTATATCCAATAGCTTCTATAAACCAGGCAGAATAAGCACACAATTTCTGCTGCTACAAATCTGAAATCAAAGGTCAGGTATCTTATCGCCCTTTTCTGATGAAAAGGTCTAATTTGTCATTGGTTTGCCTTGACGTTGCAAACTAATTCCGCGGGTGTATTTCTGTACTCATGTAACTGATGACATTTAAGTCAATGGAAACTTTGGAAGTACTTTAAAGTAAGGTATTTACTTGAATAACGGCTTGTATGATCATCCTCTGTTGAATTTGGCTCACAGTGAGCCCTAAAATTCCCACACCACTATGTAAACATAGAGCTCAAAATTAAAGAAAAAGACCAGACGGTGCTAGCTCACCATATTACAATACACCATATTTTAGAAATGATTTACAGTTCAGTATTAGTATGTAATTGAAAACAATGGGCACTGTGTGGATTCATACATGTTTCACATATACTTCATCCATGTATAAGCAGCTATGTACTTTATGCATGATCTAAGTGTATCTAAATGGTAAATATCCCAAATAGCAATGATATAAAATGCATCATTTATATCTATTTTTCAGTACCTTTATGTCTTTATGGCACAGTGGATAACTCTGTAAGCAGCAAGGAAATTCCAGTTTACTGCAAAGACTGATGTTACAGCCACTGGACTCTGTGTTAGGAGCATATAAGACATCAGGTAAATGGCCTTTTGCTTCAAAAATTGCATGTTTTATTTTTTCAAACATTGAATCAAAAGGTACAAAAATGATCATTGAGTAATACTGACTGATATCTCTTACATAATAGCCTGCATGCTTCAATTCCACTATCTCCATTGCAGTCACAAAGTTGTGCAAGGACAAAGCACTGGAGTGGGAGCCAGTGGGCATAAAATAGAAGAGAAAAAAAGAGACATCAGTGTTGCCATGATTACACTCCAGTTCCTACATGTTCAAACATTCATGAAGTTTAGTCAGCCTGATACTCATTGTTTCCATTTCTGCTTTGTGGTTGTACCCAAGCACAAATCATTTCTATTGACAGTGATTCTGTTACTTCAGTCATCAGAGAAGGACTGTTTGGGTAATAAACAATTTTATTTGGGGTAGTTGGGAGCAGAATTATGGCATTCTGTTCTGCTGGAATATTGACTTAAAAAATAGTGAAAAATTATTACAGAATATTAAATAATTATAAAAATAGGATAAGCGCCTCTTACTCTTCCTCCTCAGTTATTGATTCCTATATTCAGAAAATGCACACAAGTTATTTTAATGTGTTTGATGAAAACTAACCATATGACTAAAAAACAATCACTTGGCACTAGGAGGGAAAAAAAAAAAAGTATCTCGTTCTCCTTAAGAGAGAATAAACCCCCAAATATTCTGGTTCCAATATCAACAACCCCCCAACCCCACAGCCTCAGTTACTCAAACTTATTTGATTGCACTTATCTTCAAAAGTTTTAAGATAAAGTCAGTAGAAATTACAGGGACAACAGAGCACTGAACACTGCACCAGTATTACTGCAGTTTGGTAATTATTTTTCCAGTAATATTGAGAAATTTTATTATTACTAAATGTAGTAAAATTGCTGTCTTCACCGCTAAAATAAAAATCTACTACTTAAGGCCATGTTCCACAAAGAGGAGTTTGTGCATGGATTACAGAGCAGGACTGTGGCAGAGCAAAACTCTCCAGGCAGCAAGAACAGAAGAAAGGGTGTATTTAAAACAACAGTTCAGGCTTTTCTCCATACTTTCAAAAGAAGAAAATACATTGCTTTTATTGACTGAAACACTGCATGGTCAGGTCTGCTTTACTTAAATGTTCCCACAGATCTGACTTTGGGGCATACGTCTGCACTTGCCGCCAAGTCACCAAAAGCTTCAGCCCTCCACGATCTTGTGAAGTGAAAGGTCAGCAGATATGCAGAACTGAAAGAGATCTGTGAACCTTCCCCTTGCTAAGAAAATGCTAGAGTAATGGAATATTGCAAATAACTGTGGTTTGGCAAAATCTAAGAGTATGCTGTGACACACACAAGCCAGAATGGGAAGTATTCAACTGGAGATCATGATTAAAAAATAACAAGCCCTAAGCGAAGCAATTTCTTAGACAGTGTATTTTGTCAGTGTCTTTGCGCGCTGAAAAACCCTTCTATGTTACTGACAAAATAATCTGCAGTGAAACCAGGCCTACCTACAAACTGAACGTTAGCTGTACTGCACTAGATCAGATTTTGACATTTTCCTATCTTTGAGTTGTGTATTAAAAAAAAAAAAAAAGCTAGAAGGACCTCTATCCAGATCTCTAGCCTGTCCTCACCAGCAGAAAGTCTAATAAACTCCAAGATTACCACACATCTTCTCTATGTAACTGTCCAGCACAATTTGTGTAACCTCCTAGGAAGAAGTGAGAAACAGATCTTACTTGGTCTTGTCTTGCAGGTCTTGGCTTACTGGGGTTTTGGAAGGTAGCTGGATGTTTTGGTATGTGGTGCCTGATTTTTAAAAGCAAAGCTTTCTCAAATCAAAGATACTATTTCTTCATCCTGAAATTTGTGTTGCTATCTAAACATCAACACTGCACTCTGTCCAAAGAGGGCTGTTAACAGTAATGTGACTTGATTTAACTCTACATATTCCAACTTACAGCGAGGTTGGTGGCCTCACTCTCCATTTCCAGGGGAAGGCCAGACTCCTCGGCACTCCTCTAAGTGCCTAACAGCACACCTTTCAAATCTGCTTGTACACACACCTCCTAGACTAATGCTTCATCGTATACCAGCTGATGCAGTTACCTTACTACTTCATTTTCAAAGTGTGGGAGGACCCAAAGTATTTTTCTTTAAGTTCTCTGATCCTCCCCCTGCAACTTCAAACACAATGCCTTTTCCAAACAAGTGAAGAAGTAGAAATTAAGAAAATAGGGAGAGAGAAAAACGAAGCAGCAAGACAACTGCCTTTCCTGTTAATTCCCCTGTGCAAGTTTAGCCTGGTTTTTTTTCCGCAGGGACCGTGCGAATCGGTCGGGGTTGTTTTTGTCCAATAACGCTGCAGGAGCACAACACCGGTTTCCTTTTGACGGGAGGACAGGAAATAAATCACGCGTATTTTGAAAGCGCTGCCCCGGAGACGCCGTGCCGCCGGCTCCCTCCCGCAGCCGCCCGCCCAAGATTTCCGACCGGAGGCTGCCCCTCGCCCGCCGGCCCCG